AGAGAGTGATAAGGGACAGCAAATAATCTTTGTTGCATTTTGTAAGTTCTCATTGTAAGTGGCAGACATTAATGCTGCATGTTTTATGGCAGGCCAAATAATAAAAATCTTGTCTAGTTACTGACCTTAGAACTTATTTTATGTTTTGGGTGTATGTTAAGGAGAGAGCCTGCAGCAGATGTGACTGAAGGAGGGAGTGAGGGAGGGGATGGTGAGTTGGTGGGTGTGGAGTGGAGAGCAGCAGGGGCGAGGAGGGTGAAACAGGATGTGTGGGCAGGGACTTTGGAGTGTTCCAGAGGAATCAGAAAAATCTCCAAATCAGAATTGGATTTTAAAGATTTGTGTGAGCAAAGTAATTATATGGGGAATTTAATCCAAATTTTATTAGACATAGAAAGAAAATTTATTACATTCATTATTTTTCATTTTAATAGACACTGCCAATAACCCTGTAAAGTGATTGTACCAACTTATACTCCTGCCAGCAGGGAGCATACATTAGTTCTTTGATGTTGTTATTACTTGGTTTTCTAAATATTAACTAATATTTAGAAAATATGGGTCAGTTATAAAGAAAAACAATTCAATAGACACTAATGAATCAACCACCCAATTTAAGAAATAAAACAGTACCCCTCAGAGGTAACGACCATCCTGATTCTCCTTTGCTTAAAAAGTTTTCCCTGTGTGATTATATCTTCAAACAATAAATTTAGTTTTGCCTGTTTTTGCACATTTAAAATATAATCATTCTGTATTCTCTGGTGACCTGCTTGTTTTTGAGATTTATTGATGTAGATGCGTATGGCTGTAGGGTTCCCCCCCCCCCCCGACTGTTCTATAGGATCCCACTGTATGACTATCTCACAATTAATTGTTGTTTTATTGTTGGTGAACATTTGGGTAATTTGCACTGTTTTTGATTTTACAAACAGTATTGATAATTTCTCAACTATGTTGAAACATATGTACTTGATATATGACAATTGTTGATGCTACAAAAATAGCAGTTTCATATGGTTCAACTTAATATATATCTTCTATGTATAGGTGTGAGAGTTTACTTACACACACACAATTTAATAATTTAAAAACAATATTACATTTCCTATAGGAATATATGCCTTTTCCCTTAAGCTCTATTACTATCTGTAATTATGGGCAAGTTGAGTAATCAATCACTATTAGCTTCAGTTTCCTTATCTCTAAAATGAGGGCATTTGACTTGATTCTGAAGATGCCTTCTATAATTTGGTGGTTTGATCATAAGCTATCTTTGTTCCCAGAATAATTTATTGATGATCCTGGTAGCTCATAAATGTTGCCAATGGACCAGCTCTAAACTCACAGGCACTTTTAGTTGGAAGGCATTTTAAAGAAACGGATGCCAGGATATTAAGTGACTTGCCAAAGTCGTGTAACTGCCCAAACCAAGACCAAGTAGCTATACCTAATGTTGAGAGAGAGAGAGAGAGAGAGAGAGAGAGAGAGAGAGAGAAAGAGAGAGAGAGAGAGATCAGTGCAGCACCAATTTCGAGCCAGAGGGGAACAGAAGCTATGCTGGACTCATGTACTGCAGCTCTGGGTCCTGGCCTTCCTCCTGGACTGGTGGGGACAAGTGTGTGCCTGTGGCCCCAGAGGCTGTACTTCTGCATCGAGATGGAGCTGAGCCACCTGGTCATGGGTGAGACATCGGGCGTGGTGTGCCTGAGGGCAGTTCTTTGTTTTCCCTCAAGTATTTCTTGCCACTGTACCTCAAATCCTCCTATGTGTGCGTTCCTGAAATGCATTTTCTGTAATACAGTGGAATGATCCTAGTTCCTCTGGCAATACCACAAGAAGGAGACAAATCCAGATGGACATGTAGCCTGATGCAGAGACACCCAGGGAACCCAGTCGACATTAGTCAGCTATCAGCTTAACTGCAGACACGTAAGCACGAATATACAGGGTGAGGCAAAGCAGATTTACAGTTGTGAGTATGGGAAACAGAGTGTATTATTGTATTATTATTTATTAATGATTGTACTGTTTTCCATACAAACAACTGTAAACCTACTTTTGCCCCACCCTGTGTGATTGTTATTTTAGCCACTGAGTTTTGGGTTGTGTGTTATGTAGCAATAGCTGACTGATACACCTACCTATTCCTATTAGCAAAGTAAAGAATGAATGTGTCCCTAAATTTATTCTGCAGATCACATTTTTATTGAGTGTCTATTATCTGTCAGGCATTTTCTAGAAGCTGGGGATACAACAGTGAACAAAAGAACATTCCTACTCTCTTATAGTCATTCTAATGAGGGGAAAATAAGATAGACAAATGAACTAATAACTACATAATATGCTGAGTGCCATGGACAGTGGTAAAAGCAGCATAAAGAAATACTTTTTAAAAAACAACATTAAATGTAAAACCTCTCTGCTAAGTATAAATGCAAAAATCTTGAGGGCGCAGTTTGCTTGCGGGTGGGGGGCGGGGCTGCAATCCGACAGGCTGGCTGGGCTGAGTGATCAGGTTGAAGGATAGCAGAGGACAAGATCAGGTGAAAAGAGCCTTTACACAAGTAGGTCCGATGTTGTCATTTCTCCTTCCCAAATTCTACAATGGCTTCCCTCCTCATTCAGAAAAAATATCCAAAAGTCCCACCACAGTTTACAAGGGTCTACAGAATCCTGCCTCCAGCTACCTCTGCAACCTCATTCCCTACTATTGTTTTTTTTTTCTCTGTTCCTTTCTTAGGCTAAGTTTCTTCTCACCTTAAAACTTTTAAGTAACCCTTACTTAGCCTGAGTAGTGAAGTAGTAGCTGGCTGATGAGGAGCTACTTCCTCAGAGAGACCTTCTCGCTCTTCCCAATCTAAAGGAACGTCTCAGTCAAGTTCCATCATATCACCCTACTTAATCCTGCCAAACTTCTCACAGTTCAATTATGGTTTTATACAGAACAGTATTGTATATCCATAAAGCTTTTCCATGAATTCATTCAACAAAATAGTTGTTGAACACCTACCACACAAACATATGTTAGGTATTCATTTATTCAACACTTAGTGAATTCTTACTGAGTACTTCCTGTGTGCCGTGCCCTGTTCTAGGAACCTGCGAGATAGTGATCAACAAGGTAGGTAAACAGGTTTCTGTTCTCACAGAGCTGATGATTTTAGTGAGAGAACAGAGGAACAGGAGTAAGGGGAGCAGAATAGAATGAGTAATAATTTTGAGTAAATTCGGAAATCATTCATAGTAGACTACATATCAACTCTGTTAGGATGAGGAAGAAGCCCATTATTTCAATTAACCAAAATAAAATTGAAAAAATACTATTGATTTTTTTTTAAGTTAAAAACCTGTATCTTCCCACCATCAGTGTGTTTGGAAGCCAAGAAGTCCAATAATTTACTATCAGATTTCCTACATAAACTGTTGTTTTCACTTTACAATCTGTATATTACTAAAGTCACTAAACTGTTAAGATAAAATTCCCATAAAGTTAATAAATGATTAATGAATGAAGATGCAGGAAAAGAACCCAAGGACTAATATTGCAATAAGGATGCATTTATATCAAGGTTTTTAAACCTTGATACAGTTCATATTAAATATTAAATTCAGCAATTAATAGTATATTGTTTTCTGAACAAACTTTAGTGGGAAATTTTTACTACCTTTAAGCACTTTTAAATTTCACCACTTAGAAAATCTCTGGAAGGCTGGGAAAACAACTTGTGCAAAAATTTAAACTTTAGTAAAAATCAACATATAAGCCACTATATTTTACACCGAAAATACAGCTTGTCCTGATAATACAAATTGTGTTCATTTGGTGGAATTTTGAGACATGTTTACAATATGGATGTTTTTAAAGAATAAAATCTCAGAATCATTATACTGTATACCATTGAACCAAGAGGCTAGAGAATGGAGATGGGCTCCTACAGAAAAAATAAAGGCCCCAATAATTTTGTGCTTAATTTGATCACTAATTATGAAACCTTATTCAATTCTCTGGGCCTTGGTTTCTGTATCTGCAAAAGGATATAATGGTTACCTAATAAAACTCACAGAATTGAACATGTGTGAGGGCAAACTGATATATTTTTATGTTAACCTGTTTTGAAAATTTAAGATTCTATACATGGAAAAAAAAGATTATCTACATCAAAGTGGGACACACGCTCATCAGTACATGAGAGATACAGCCAGTTCTTAAAGAAGTGCACAGTTCCTGAATCTTCTCCTCTCGAAACCACGAAGATAGGCTGCATCAATTCTAAAACCACCTGTCATTTGTCACTCTTCTGGTTGGCTGCACCCTGGGAAGGTGGCTCACTTAAAGAAAACTTGGAAAACCACTGGGTCCCTCTCCATCTCCAATCCTCCCCACCGCCAAACCAGGTCAGAATTCTCAGGAAGGTGCCTTGGTGTCCCCTGGCACACGGTCTTCATGCAGTTGGTGCTTCACAGGTGATGGGTGTATTTCTTACATTCTATTTTCATCATGTCATACTTTCATGTTAATAAAGCTCTATTGGAGTCGAATTAAAACATGTAAGATAGGTGACATAATGTAAACATCCTGAATTAAAAAAATAACCTTCATGTGTGTTTAAATTTAATTTTTTGAGATAATTTTGGATTAGAAGGCCTTCTAAAGCATCTATAGTGTTCAAAGTAAAAACCACACTACGGGGTTCACTCTTTTGCATGGAAGTACAACCGGAATGCTCTATCCTCAGGTCTTATGATGGACTCCTTGTCATTTGGGTCTCAGTGCGTATGTTTCTTTCTCTAAGGAGTCTTCCCTGTGTACCCGGTCTGAACATCCCAAGTTTCTCATTACATTATCCATGACACTCACCACTCTTGTCCTTTTTTAGTCATTGGTTTCTTGCATATTATCTGTCAAATAGACAGTTAGCTGCATGGGAGCAGGGACCTGGCCCTAATGTCTAGATCAGACTCTCTTGCAAATTCCTCTGTACTAGCCCTAGGCAGATGCCTGGTACATGGGACTTATTAAAATTGAGACCTTACTCCATGTCAGGCTCCCTATGTAATCCCACCTGCTTCTAATCCTCACAACTGTAAACTGTAGGAATTATTCCCAATTTTTAGACCAGTGATTCCCAAAGTGGGCACTACCACCCCCTGGTGGGCGCTGCAGCGATCCAGGGGGGCGGTGATGGCCACAGGTGCATTTGTTTTAACTTTTTTTGTATTACCTTTCTATTCTGAGTTCAATAAATAGTTTCATAATTTCAAACTTCAATGTTTCTAATTTACACCTTTCTTTACTATATTTTACGGAAAAGGTAGAAACATTAATACATATATCTTTCTGTTTAATTGCTATTAAAATTTTTAAAAAATTAATTTCCAGGGGGTGCTGAGTAATATTTTTTTCTGGAAAGGGGGCGGTAGGCCAAATAAGTTTGGGAACCACTGTTTTAGACAAAGAAAGATTCAAGGAGGCTGAAATCATAGCTGAAAAGACAGTCTGATGCTCAAGTCTAACCCCCTTCCCACCACTACTGACAATGTGGATTCCGAATCTTTCCCCCCTGTCTCCCACACACTAATTACCACAATTAACCACAGGGATGAAGCACTGAGCTTAAATATTTCTTCTTGGAACTAAATGTATTAGCAAAGCAGGGAAAACATCAGGAAGTTCAAACAAGCTGGTGGAGCCCACACACCCTCCTCACAGATCCTTGGGTAAACAAGGGTGGATGGGTTAGTAGCAATTTAACTTACTGGCTTAGGAATTATTTTGACAAAGGTCACACAACCTGACTATCTAGGAAATCTACATCCAGCTGCCTTAGTAACCACTTCCAAAATCTCAGCTTTTGAAGAGTTTGTGAACGGTTCAGGCATTTTCTCTTTCTTTGTGTCCCTTTTCTCTCTCTCGCCATAGTTTTGACTTTTGACTAGTTCGCTGCCTTAAAAGCAAACAACAACAAACCTCTCCAAATCCAGGAATAAGCTGGAGGGACCAAGAGGAGAGAAAACCGGGGAAGGTGCCAGCAACTTTGGGAAAGACATATAGTTCTTGTCAGGCCCTTCACTGTCCTCTCTGCCTATTTACATTCTCATCAGATAAATTACAAGTTGCCTTTATGTGAAAACCGTCTCAATTTCCAGCTGATACACGCTCTTCCTGTCGCACCCACACCCACCACCGCCTAATTTCCGGCCCGGTTCGGGGCTGTGACGTGCCCTGTGACTGCAGGACAGGCAGCGGGTGTGTCAATACCTGGGCGCGGGCAGGGGCTGAAACCCCAGCCCAGCGAGCAGTACGAACCGACTCATGACTGTGCCCAGTTCTCCTCTCCTCTCGGTTGGCTCTCGCTTCAAGCAGCCAAGAAGTGACTGCACAACGAGTCAGACGAGACAAGTGGGCCCGGGGACTTCTCATCTGGAAGTGAGAGATGTGGGCGGCCCAGGCGGGTCGCGCGCTCCCCCGCGGTCCAGGGCGCCTGACCTTTCGCAGCCACGGAGGGCGCAGCACGGACTCCGGTCCCCGGGCACGCCCTCTGGCCACTGGATGACGGCGACAGAGGACTCTGGAAGTGAGTCAGAGTGGCTGCAGGCGTCTTTCTCAGATGAGACTTGGAAGTCTTCCCACAGCATCCTGAATTCCTCCGTCGTAAAACTCAGCATACTGTGATTTACAGGGATCTCCCTTCCGCCCTGGGGTGGGAGCCACGCGGGTCTTGTTCGATTGACACGGGCTTTCCCACCGAGACTGGCACGTTGTAGGCGCCAGTAAGTAGCTGTTGCCTGGCCGGGTACTGGCTGAGCGACGGGATGCATGCATGCCCGGTGAATGCATCAAGAGTCGGTGTGAGTCCCTCCCTCGCCTCTGCAAGGACCCGGGACAGCCCATTCGATCTCATCGCCACCCAGATGCCAGGTCCCCCGGCTCGGGGCAGACACTCACCTTCTCGGCAGGGCTCTCCGGGCGGCAGCCTCACCTCTCCCCCCATGGCCCCCAGGCAGGGCTTCCTGGGCGCAGACGCTCGCTCCACACCCACCGGGGCTTCTCCGCCACCGCCGGGACCCGGGTTCCCACAGAGCGGCGCTGACCCCGCCCCCTGGAGGCCTCAGCCAATGGGGGTGGCTGGGTGGGGCCCGCGGGCGAGTCCCGCCCCCGACCTGCCAGGTTGGATGGACATTCCCGGTGGGAAGGCGGTGACAGCGTCTCCTCTTCGCCGGTGTGACGCGCGGGATCGCTTACTGCGTCTCCTTTCGGCAGCTGGAGCGGGGCCGTGGGAAGCACAGACACACCTCGCCGGGTGGAGGCCGCCGAGCCAGCTCTCGGGGAATTGGTGGAGAACGTGAACAGGCCGTGCGGGGCCCCCCTCTGCCTCGCCCGCGTGGAATGCCTCCCGCTGCTGGATTCTGAGCGCTCTCCGTCCCACGTGTGCGGCTTTGCACGGAAGTTGCTGGCCACTGGGATTCTGCTCTGATGGCCATGCCCAAGTTTACTCTGTGCGCCTTAGAAACAGGCTGTGCCCTTCTGTGCTATGATCAGCTTCTCTCGCGCTCCTTCCACTTCAAACGTGCGTCCCTCTCCTCCCCCCTTTTCTTGGTCATGGAGTTATTTGCAATAAACCCTAACGGAAAGGCAATGCTCAAACGGAAACGACTGATTCCTGCAAAATACTAATCGTTCACATTTATGATATTCTTACTTTACCAGGCATGTGTAGGCACTTTATATGTATTAACTCGGTATATCTCACGGCATAGTCTATGAACCCCTAGTTTACAGATGAGGGATCGGCGCTAAAAAGTGAGGTTGGGTCAACCAAGTAGTCAGTGGAAGGCTTCCTAGCAGGTCATTACGCAACATGAAATGATTACAATTCCTGCTGCAGCCCTCATCACAGGCCTTTGTGCTCTGGAATTCCCTGAAGGAAAGGCGGTCTGCTCACCTTGTCTTTGCCCTAGGTCGTCATTAACTTTATTACCTAAGAGTTTCAGAGCAGAGGCCGCAGTCTTGCTTTTCTTGTTCTTCGGCTGATGAGAGAAGAGTTAACCATCAGTCACCATACGGCACACAGGTTCACATGTGGATGACTTGGTGAAGGAATAGCATGGGGAGGGGTATGGTGAAAATTGGATGGGAAGGAGATTTATGCCAAATTTGGATAACAAGCCTTAAAATTTAGATTTCTATTTAAACGTTTTGTTTGAACATCAGATTTGAAACTTTTACCTTCATCAAAGATTGGTGAGAATAGTAAACGTGCTCTTAAGTATTATTTATCACATATGTTTAACCAACACAAATAGCATTTATGTGGGCAAGCACTATTCTAAACACTTTACAAATATTTGCTTTTTAAATCGCCATAATAGATACTTTATTAGTCCCTCTCCTCCCTTACAGATAGGAAAGGGAAGCAGATAGAGATTAAGTAACTTGCCTATAGACACATAGCTAATAAGTGCTGGAGCTGGGATGCTAACTAAAGAAGTCTGGCTTCAGAGTCTTACCCCATTTGCTAAATGGATAATTTTTAAAAATGGAGATTTAAAAAACTAAGAATTACTGTTGAGATGATTTTTTTGTAAAAATTGAATTCCGGCTTCTTAGTAAAGTCTATTTTAAGTAGGAGGTACTTTGTTGTAATTCTTGTTTGTTGGTTCTAGAAATAAAGACAAAAACACAGGAAAAAAAAAAAGTAAGCTTATCTAAGATCACTGTTTTCCCAGTTTAAATGTTGCTTATCAGAGCTTTACAATATGTTTTCCTTCACTGCCTATTTTAGATGACTTTTTGATATTATGTCATTATAGCACCATAGACTGTCGTTAATTTTTGAGATTTTTATTCCTAATAGAAAGTATGGTGTTTATTTAACTAAAAGAAGAACATTCAGAAATCTACAACTAGCCCTCTCCACAACCCTGGGAAGATTCCTTTCTGACTCAAAACTTAGGATGTGATAGCACATGAGGTCCTCTGAAATGTCAGCTCCTGACTTAGTGGTCTTGTAGACTCCGTAGTGATGGTCCAAATAATGAACAAACATTGAGGCCTCAAGGAACAAGGCCACAGGCCCTTTGAACAGTGCAGGGGTCTGATAGGGTCCTTATTGTATAAGGCTTCAACCCTTCAGTTGCTAAGGTTCCTGGGGCAGGGATGGGGTGACTAGGCAGGAGGGGTGGTTTTGGGGAGGGAGCTTGAGACTATTTGCAGAAGTTACAGTCCTGTCTAGCATTATGCCAAGTCTACTACTGGGAATTCATGATTCCTTATTTTTTTCCTCAATCAGTCTAGCTAGGAGGTTATCAATTTTTCCAAAAACCATCTCTTACCTTTATTGATTTTCTTTACTGATTTTAAAAAGTTCATTGACTTCTGCTACTATTTTTATTATTTTCTTTCTTCCGTATTGAGTTTAATTTGCTTTTCTTCATCTAGCTTCTATGGTAGAAACATAGATCATTTATTCTAAACCTTTATTCCTTCTAATATAAGCATTTAAAGCTAAATTTGCCTTCAAATTTGCCTAGCTATATCCCACAAAATTTTAGATGTTTTTGTTATTAACTAGAGGCCCAGTGCATGACATTCGTGCACCAGGGAGGGGTAGGTCCCCTCAGCCTGGCCCTTTGGCAGCCCCGGAACCCTCCGGGGATGTCTGACTGATGGCCCACATCCTTAGCGCTGCTGCAGAGGCTGGAGAGGCTCCTGCCACTGACGCTGCACTCACCAGCCATCAGCCAGGTTTGTGGCTGAGCAGCACTCACCCTATGGGAACTCACTGACCACTAGGGGGCAGCTCCTGTGTTGAGCATCTGCCTCCTGGTGGTCAGTGCACATCATAGTGACCTGTCAGTCCTCCAATTGGTCGATTTGCATATTACCCTTTTATTATATAGAATCAGTTAAAAATATTTTGAAATTTTCTCTGTGATTTCTTTTTTGATGCACAGATTATTTAGGAATGTGTTGTTGATTTCTAAATATTTGGGATTTTTTTCAGATATCCTTCTGTTATTGATTTCTAACTTAATTCTGTTTTGGACATAGAACATATTCTGTATAATAATAGACCTTTGACATTTATTGAGATCTGGTTTATGGTCTATTTTAGTGAACGTGCCAAGTGAAATGGGAAAGAATTTGTATTCTGCAGTTTGGGGTATAATGTTTTATAAATGTCAATTAGGTTAAATTGCTTGCTCAAAATCTAGTTTATTACTGATTTTTTAAATTTGTTCTGTCAATTACTGAGAAAGAAGTGTTAAAATCACCTGTAATTGTGAGTTTGTCTATAAATTTAGTGCTGCTAGTTTTTGCTTCATGGGTTTTTGAAGCTTTGTCATTAAGTGAACATACACACAGGACTGTCAGGTCTTCTGAGTCTATTGACACTTTTAGCATTATTAAATATTCCTGTTTATTTATAGTAACACTTTTTTATTTGATTGTACTTTGAAATTTATATAGCTAAACCAGATGTTTTATTATGAATTTACATGTTATACCTTTTTCTATCCCTTAACTTTTAACTTATTTTTATAAATAAAATATAAATGCATTTTATTTTTTTAATCTTTACTTGAGGATATGTTTATTGATTTTGAGAGAGAGAGAGAGAGAGAGAGAGAGAGAGAGAGAGAGAGAGAGAGAGATTGGCTCCTTCATGCACCCTGACTGGGAATCAAACCTGCAACCTAGGTATGTGCCCTGACCAGAAATCAAACCTGCAACCTTTTGGTGTATGGGATGATACTCCAACTAATTGAGCCAGCTGGCCAGGGCTGCACTTTACTTTTTTAACCAAACTGTCAATCTCTGATTTTATTAGTCTATTTAGTGTGTGTACATGTTTTGTAATTATTGATATAGTTGGATTAAGTACTGAAGAAGTTCCTTATACATTGGTTATAGTGAGGATTTGCTAGCAATAGGTGCTCTCCATTTTGTTTTTTCTGGGGGGGGGGGGAAAGTCTTTGTTTTTGTCTTTGAAAGTGATATTTCCTTGGTACAGAAGTATAAGTTGGCAGTATTTTCTCTTGGAACTTTAAGAATATTGATATTGTTCCATTGTTTTTTAGCTCACATTGTTTCTATTAAAAGGCTGTGACTATTAATTTGTGTTTCTCCCCCCACCCCCCATGGTATGTAATGTGCCTATTTCCCCCCTCTGGCTGTTAAAAATTATTTTTATCGCTTATTTTTATTAATTGGGCTTTTATTTGCCTTGGTGTGCTTTTCTTTGTGTTTATCCTGTGTGGGTTCATTTGAGATTCTTGAATATGTGGATTTATCCTTTACATTAATTTAGAAAATTGTTGGCCATTATTTCTTCAAATATTTTTTTCTACCCCCTCCCTTCTAAGACATCAAATACTCACATGTTTGACTGCTTACTATAGTCTCATGGGTCTATAGCAGGGGTCCTCAAACTTTTTAAACAGGGGGCCAGTTCACTGTCCCTCAGACCGTTGGAGGGCCGGACTATAGTTTAAAAAAAAACTATGAACAAATTCCTATGCACACTGCACATATCTTATTTTGGAGTAAAAAAACAAAACGGGAACAAATACAATATTTGTATTTGCATGTGGCCTGCGGGCCGTAGTTTGAGGACCCCTGGTCTATAGTCTATGAGTCACTGAGGCTCAGATGTTTTATCTCTTGCTTCAGTTTGGATACCTTTGATAGCTGTCTTCAAAGTTTACTGATCTTTATCTTTACTGTATTATCAAGTCTACTGAATAAATATCTGGTAAATTTTGTGGTTGTTGTTGTTAATCCTCACCTGAGGATATTTTCCCATTGATTTTTTAGAGAGAGTAGAAGGGAGGGGGAGAGACAGAGAGAGAGAAACATCAGTGTGAGAGACATATGGATTGGTTGCCTCCTGCATATGCTGGGATTGAGCCTGCAACTGAGGTATGTGCCCTTGACCAGAATTGAACCTAGGACCCTTAAGTCCATGGGCCAACACCCTATTCACTGAGCCAAACCAGCTAGGTCAATATCTGGTAAATTTTTCATTTTGACAGCTTCCTTTTAATTTCTAGATGTTCCATTTGTTACTTTTTCATGCCTTTCACATTTATTTACTCATTATGTCCATGTTTTTTTTTAATTCTTAAGTATATTTAGAATAGATATTTTAAGGACTTCTTGCTAATTCCATTATCTGTAGGTCTGAAACTACTGCTATTTATCCTGATTATAGATTACATTTTCCTGCTTCTCTAGTAACTAGAGGCCTGGTGCACGAAATTCATGCACAGGTAGGGTCCCTTGGCCTGGCCGGCAATCAGCATCAATCAAGTTCCCTGCCTCCCCACCTCCCCGCCTCCCCACCTCCTCCTTCCCTTACTCCCTCAGTGCCTGGTCGCTGCCGCTGGTCGCCCGCCATATTCCATGCCGCCTGCTGGTGATCAGTGCAAATCATAGTGAGCAATTGAACTCCTGGTCTCCCAGTTGAACTCCTGAGGGGACACTTTGCATATTAGCCTTTTATATATATAGATT